CTGTGATACCAACTATGACTTTTTAGCTAGAGGAAAAATCTGTGCATATTTTTTTATCTAGGAATTTGCATTTGACACATTTCTTTTGGCCTTTTGAACATTTTTATTAATAAAATTTATTGGGTGCCTTATGTAGGGTACTGTGCTCTTAACTTTATAGCCAACATTGGGCAATGGATAGTATGCAAGATCAATAGGTATGATTTCTATTTTCTAGTAATCATTAAGGATATCTAGTAATCATTAAGCATATCATGATACATTCTCAGTGTTTAAACTTTTGTATTGCTTTGCACATGAGATTTTGTATTGAAGCATTTGTTTCTGTTACAGTATGAGATTAGTAGACTATTTATAATATGGCCTTAGGCTCAGCAATTTGGACCATTCCAGAGTCTACATAGAACGTTTGACTTGCACCTTAAAAAGAAAAAAAAAAGCCTTTTCAATTCACAGATGATTCATTCCTTAGTTATAGTACGAGATATAGGGTTACCATTCAGTGTTTATTCTTAAGTTAAAATAGTAGAAATCCTGCAGACATTTGAAATATATGTTAATACTGAATTTCTTTTGCTAGTAACTAGTCAATTTTGGTTTTCTCTGTGACAGATAAGAGATGACTTCCAGAAAAACAGATTTTTCTGAAATCTTTTGATATGTTTCTTAAAAGGATTTTTAAAAATAAAATAGCTGGATTGAGAAATATATTACATTCTAAGTTAGTGCAGAAAATACTACCAAGTAATTAAGATTAATCAGAGTGATTTTTAAATTTTTTTTTATTTTTAGGTTATATATTAAATTTTCTGATTATAGCATCAAAGGGCAGAATTTGCCAGTAATTTGACTTAGTCATTCTTATACCCAGTTTTGAGGACCATGTGCTATTTATATCTTCATTGTTAAAGTAGGACAAAGATACTGATATTTCTTTGTTAGTCCATAAATTCCTCACACCTTTTCAGACTATTTGCTGTTTATACAAGTCAGTGGCATAAGAGATTCTAGTAAGGGCACATTTATTATAACAGGAAAGAAATCAGTTATTTCATTAACTCCAGTTTGAGTAGCAATTGTTTGAATGTTCTTAAATTCCCTGAATTCATTATAAACCTATCTTTAGAACTGGTAAAAACATTCCCTCTCAGGTTAGTTCTGATCACGTACCAGCAGAGGTCACTTTAACTCAAGAACCCTTGTCCCTCTTTATTCATCTAGGAACACTCGCAGCCCAGCGTAGTTGAATAGTATTACAGTAAATTTAGAGTTCACATGTTCAGAATTGTGCTGCCTCTCACTTTTAAAGATAATTTTGTGAGGGTTTTTTAAATCTACCAGATGAGTTTTAAAGTAATTAAAGCATAACCTAATTTTAAATATAGGTATAGTAACTCTGTTGAAATATTGTAGTTTTTAAATAATAATTGCGTTATTTTGATGTTTTGATTATACAACTAGTTAATTCTAGTAGTCACTTAATTATTTCAATGCTTTCTATGCTTCATATAGTTAGCATGATTTATAAATTATTAACTGCTGGGGATCATGAGCCAGTCTTATCAATATGTGCTGTTTTGTTTTGGTTTTTGAGTGCTTTACTTATGATGTAACTAAAAAATCCTATTTACTGAACTGTCACTATTGCATCATGAGATGTTAAAGTTGTTGGTTTGATCTTGATCGTTTCAAGAAAGTGCTGAAAACTAATTTGATTTCATCTATTTTACAAAACACACCCTTGCTTCTTAGTAGTTCTTTGTGGATAGTACTAGCCAGACTCCTCAATAAATGAGAATAGTGGCTGGCCATTTTGTGTGACTCAGCTGTCAAGTTAAATGCACTGTCAATATAAATATGCATTGCTAGGTGATATAACAAAATGCCCTGATGTTTTCTTACCTATTTTTCAACTTTTTAACTTGAAATTTTTAAGCACACAGAAAATTCAAGGGCTAGTACAATGATCACCTCTTATCCACCTCATATATTTAGCACTTGTTGACTCTTTGCTTCATTGTTTTTTTATAGTAAGATGCTTGAGCTAAACATATTTTTTAAAAGAATTATTTTATTTAATTTTATTTATTTAATTAATTTATTTTAATTGACCAGAGAGGGACAGAGTGTGAGAAAGAAAAAGAGAGAGAGAGAAAGTGAGAAAGCAAACTGCTAGGTTCAGGACTCTAACCATGATTGGTCATGGGGGAGTTCAGCACCCTTAACCACCTGCCGGCCCTGAGCCAAACATATTAAATGTGTATGTTACATAGATATTCTATTTTATGAAGAAAGGAAAATTGGTCTAATCGGAATTCCTTTGTTTTATTAGAAGTCAGAGTACCCATTTAATTTAAAATATTCTAAATTTGTAAATGTGAGGGAAATTGGTTTTCCTTTAGTATTTTGAAGATAGTAATGTTTTAAAGAGGATTAACTAAACTACAAAGATATCTTTATATCAAGATTTGAAATTACTCAGGTTGTTTTTAAATTTTTTTTAACCTGTTATGTTTTTATTGTTTTCTTTCCTATATGACCTTAAAGCTGTGTGTATGTGTGCATGTGTGTATTTTGAGTGATTTTTTTAGAAGCTATGTGGTATAAGAATACACCACGTAACATTCTGGTCAGTGACAGACTGTATTTGTGATGGTGGTCTTATAAGGAATGTATACTTTATACCTATGGCCTAGGTGGGTAGTAGGCTATACCATCTAGGTTTACTCTATGATGTTTGCATGACAATGAAATTACCTAACACTGCCATCCTTAGAGGATATCTTGTTAGTGAGTGATATATGATGCTGCTTATCGAGCAGTGAAGATATCTTGATCTTATCTCTTTCTATACTATTTAATAGTCATCTGACCTTGGGCAGATCTTTTATCTTTTCTGATTCTTGTATCTGCACCTTTAAAATAGGAATAATACCAGTTCTGCTACCTTAATAGCATTGTTTCTTATAGTAAATAATGATGCTTAGAAGCCATGAATTCTTTAAAATATAAGATGATAGGTTTATATTATGATATATAAATAAAAGTACCTGATACTTCTTTAGACTTGTCAGTGACTTGTTTTTTTTTAGTATAGATTGAATTATCTCATCTTTGATAACAAAAGTAGATAAATAAATTATATGAGACATATCAGAAAGTTTCTGAAAACAAAAATGGAATTATGTATTTCATTTTGGTACAGAATATTAGCCATGTATCATTTTTTATAACTTCAAAAGTTCATGGGGGGACCAGCAGTTAGCGTAATGGCTATGTCGCTGGACTCCCACGTAGTCGACCGCGGTTCACGTCCTGGACCTGGTGGCTTAAAACTCATGCCGGGCGCATGTGTGTGCATGCCCAAGATCTCGAGAGGAGAATGGAGGAGAAGGGATTGCGGCGTGACCATCCCCCCGGGGGATGATTTCTCGCTTTCTGTCTCTCTGTCTCTGTCTGGCGAGCGCACATGCCCTATGGCAAAAATCTCTCCAAAAAAAAAAAAGTTCATGAAAAATAAAGACCTTCTCATAGTTTTCAGAATAAGAATGTAGCCATTTTTGGGAGTGTAATAAAACAGCTACCACAATTTTATAAAAATTAAATATCTTGTTCAATTAAAAGCAAATAGTAGTAAAAATGATATAATGCACTATTAAGGTGTATATGAAATTTCATTAAATGAGTCAGAAATTTGTGTTTATATAAATTTTATTGATAAATGTTATTAGAAGATAAATGTTCAAGAAGATTATGGCATTTGTCAAGATTTTGTGATCTTTAAGCAACTTCTTGATTCAAGTTCAGCCATATTAAAAGTGGTTTATTATATAGAAAATAAAAATCCCTTCTGGGTTACATCTCACTCACTTTAATTCTATAGAGAAATTGTACCTAACTTGAACTATGGCAGTCTTTGCATTATATTGTTTCATTACTATAAAATTAATGTGAATGTCTGTTTTCCTTGCAAGTTTTAGCATGTTCCAAGTAAAGAGGAATCTAGTACAGTTTTAGATGTATTAGACACATAATCTTGTATTTCAGTTTCTTTGCTGTTTTATAAGTAGTCTTGAAAGATCTTAGAAATTTGGACATTATCTGGATAGCTTCTGTGTTTAAAATGGCCTATGGAAAGAGATAAAAGAAGAACAATTCTTAGAGTTATCTGTAAAGACATTACAAATTTTTAAAAAGTACTTCACGTGAAAATTTTCACCACCATCTTCCTCATTTTAAAAGGGTGCAAGAACCTGATATTTATAAAAATCATAATGTTTGAAGCACTGATTTTGGTCTTAAAATTTTTTCTTCTTCTTCTTTTTTTTTTTTTTTTTAATTTGTCAGAGGGTGCATGTGCCAAAGAGAGCAAGGAAGAGAAAGCGACTCTGATGAGGCACAGTCACACACAATAATTTTTCCTCCATTTCTCTATCTTCTTAGTTTTTGGGGCATGCATACACATGTGCCCAGCATATTTATCAAGCTACAGGGAATGGGATTTAAACTGTGATTGGCCATGAGGAGTCTGTTTTTGTTATCGGTGTTGTTGTTGTTGTTGTTTTTAACTTTGAACTCGATGGCTGGCCCATAGTCTTAAAAATTTCTATTGTACTTGTTCTAAAATAATCCACTTTGAGGGCTGGTATTTCTTTAGGCTATTTCCCATAGGCCTTTGTTATACAGTAAGCAAATGTTGTTGCTGATAAATTAAAGATCTGTTAATTTATCTAGATGTGTATGTGTTTCTTTATGTATTATATATGTGGATTCATCCTCTCCAAATATTTTATAGAAGCCATTGATGTCTTATTTCTCTTCATAAAATTGTATAAAAAGTTAAGATTTTTTTCCTCTATAGATCCTGATTCTTTTTTTCTATATAACCTTAGGAATTAAGTTCTTGATCTCTTAATTACAGAAAGATAGCATTCATATTCTACTTGTCTTGATTCTTACTGCATTAAATTTGTGTCACTTTTTATTTTTCTTTTTTAAATAGAGATGTGCTCCTGCATCTATTCGCCTCATGGACAATGAACAGTTTCAGTTTGGTGAGTAGCAAGTGGTAATCTTAATATCTGCTTATTTAACCACAAACAATTTATGAAACATCCATTATGTGCCAGGGAAAGTACCAAGTGCAGAGCAGATGAGTGTTACAGCTCCTGACTGTTCTCAGTCTGATGAGGTGAGAGAATTACATAAATGGGTGCGTGCAACAGCATTAGAGCGGCTGTGAAAGAACTGCACAGGAGTGTCTGGTCTGCAAATGCAAGAGTAGTTGGTTCTACTCGATTTTACTTAAGGAAGAAGAGTCACAAAAGGAGGGTGATGATAGAGCTAAACCATCAAAAGTGTATAGATGTTTGCTTGAGATGTCTCCTCTTCTCTCCTGTCAAACTTGGTCATTTGTCAGTAAAAAATACAATGTTGTGAAACCTCACTATCAAGTTTCAGGGTACTTCAGGTAGTTCTGTGTGGCTCAAATAGAGGTAGGGTGAGGATTGTTACATGAAATATAGGTGGTTGGGTGGACTAGGCCTTTGCAGGATAAACTCGAATTTTCTTTTGTCAGCAGTGGTATTTCCTGGTTGAAGGAATAAAATCAATTGACTTTGTATCTTAGAAAACTCTTTTTGGCAGCATTGTGCTGGAGGGACTACACAGGTGCAGATGTGGAGGGGGACATATTTAGGAGGTGAAACAGTTCAAGAGACAAATTTTGGGGGCCTGAAGCAAGGCAGCAGAAATAGAGGATAGATTTTTTAAAAATTCGTTTGCCAGCTGGATGTGGAAGGTTACATAAAGGGAAGACTTAATGACAACTCCTTTTTTTTTTAAAATTTTTTGTTTCTTATTTTGCCAGAGGGCATGTGTGTTCACCAGAAAAAGACTGAGTGATAGA